TATAACCCTCACTTCTGTCCTCCCCTTATCATTGCACTCATCTCCTCATAACTCTAATCCCACATGCTAATAAAACCCCCAGGATTCTGAGGCATGTCTCCTCATATAAATTGCACTCCCATATTACCTCTCTCACCCTTCTGCTTCTCTTAAGCTCTGGAGATACATCCTTAAACCCTGGGCCTCCCTTATTTAATAACCAACACACCAATCAACCTTCACACTCTGGTAGCAGTCACAATCCACGCAATATAGTTTCCCTTCCGCTTCTTCCCAAAGCCAGTCTACCCTTCTGTACCCCCTGGAATGCTGGCTCTGTCAGCAACAAACTCACCTCCGTTCACGACCTCTGTCACTAACTCCTTTCATCTACTTGCTCCTCCTCCTTGGGTCAGCGGATAGCTTCCCATGGCTTTCAATATCATTTCTACGCTGACGACCCCCAAATCTGTCTCTCTACCCCTCAGCTCACAACATCAGCCTCCTTATGCATCACTAACTTACTGACCGACTTATCAGTCTGGATGTCACACCACTTCCTCAAACTCAATATGTCCAAAACCAAGCTCCAAACATTTCCTCTCCCCATGTGCCCCTTCCCCAGCTTCTTTGTCAAGATCATTGATACAACCATCAACCCGTCCCGGCATGCCAGGGCGCTAGGTGTAATCCTGGACTCTGAACTCTCCTTTTGGCCCCACATCCAATCACTTCCCAAAGCTTGCCGTATCAACCTCCGCAGCATCTCCAAAATACGCCCCTTCCTAACCAATGTTATCACAAAATGCCTAATTCACTCCCAGGTTCTCTCGCCTCGACTACTGCAACTCCCTCCTCATTGGATTACCTTTACATAGCCAATCCCTCCTCCAGTCCATCATGAATGCTGCTGCCAAACTGATCTATCTTACCAACTGTTCAGTGTCTGCCACAGCTCTCTGCAAATCCCTGGGCTGGCTGCCACTCACCCAACAAATTAAATTCAAAATACTAACTTACAAAGCCATCCACAACTTGGCCCCCAGCTACATTACTAACCTAGTCCAAAATACCAACCAAATCGCTCTCTTCATTCCTTCAAAGACCTACTGCTCTCTAGTTCCCTTGTCACCTCTGCTCATGCTTGCTGGCAGGACTTCTCCAGAGACTCTCCCATCCTATAGAATTCCCAACCCCAATCAGTCTATCTCCTACTCTGTCCAGTTTTAGGCGATCCCTGAAAACTTTTCTCTTCAAAGCAGCCTATCCTGCCTCCACCTAACAACTTTACATGTACAGTGGGGATCGAAAGTTTGGGCACCCCAGCTAAAAATTTGCATTAATGTGCATAAAGAAGCCAAGGAAAGATGGAAAAATCTCCAAAAGGCATCAAATTACAGATTAGACATTCTTATAATATGTCAACAAAAGTTAGATTTTATTTCCATCATTTACACTCTCAAAATAACAGAAAACAAAAAAATGGCGTCGGCAAAAGTTTGGGCACCCTGCAGAATTTATAGCATGCACTGCCCCCTTTGCCAAGCTGAGACCTGCCAGTGTCATGGATTGTTCTCAATCATTGTCTAGGAAGACCAGGTGATGTCAATCTCAAAGGTTTTAAATGCCCAGACTCATCTGACCTTGCCCCAACAATCAGCACCATGGGTTCTTCTAAGCAGTTGTCTAGAAAACTGAAACTGAAAATAGTTGATGCTCACAAAGCTGGAGAAGGCTATAAGAAGATAGCAAAGCGTTTTCAGATGTCAATATCCTCTGTTCGGAATGTAATTAAGAAATGGCAGTCATCAGGAACAGTGGAAGTTAAAGCAACATCTGGAAGACCAAGAAAAATATCAGACAGAACAGCTTGCAGGATTGTGAGAAAAACAATTCAAAACCCACGTTTGACTGCACGATCCCTCCAGAAAGATCTGGCAGACACTGGAGTTGTGGTACACTATTCCACTATAAAGAGATACTTGTACAAATATGGTCTTCATGAAAGAGTCATCAGAAGAAAACCTCTTCTACGTCCTCACCACAAAAATCATCGTTTGAACTTTGCAAATGAACATATAGACAAGCCTGATGCATTTTGAAAACAAGTTCTGTGGACCGATGAGGTTAAAATTGAACTTTTTGGCCGGAATGAGCAAAGGTACGTTTGGAGAAGAAGGGGCACAGAATTTAATGAAAAGAACCTCTGTCCAACTGTTAAGCATGGGGTTGGATCAATCATGCTTTGGGGTTGTGTTGCAGCCAGTGGCACAGGGAACATCTCACGAGTAGAAGGAAAAATGGATTCAATAAAATTTCAGCAAATTTTGGATGGTAACTTGATGCCATCTGTGAAAAAGCTGAAGTTAAAGACATTATGGCTTCTACAAATGGATAATGATCCTAAACACACCTCAAAATCCACAGGGGATTACATCAAGAGGCATAAACTGAAGGTTTTGCCATGGCCTTCACAATCTCCTGACCTCAACATAATTGAAAATCTATGGATAGACCTTAAAAGAGCAGTGCGTGACAGACAGCCCAGAAAATCTCAAAGAACTGGAAGACTTTTGTAAGGAAGAATGGGCAAAGATACCTCAAACAAGAATTAAAAGACTCTTGGCTGGCTACAAAAAGCGTTTACAAGCTGTGATACTTGCCAAAGGGGGCAGTACAAGATATTAACTCTGCAGGGTGCCCAAACTTTTGCAGGTGCCATTTTTTTTGTTTTCTGTTATTTTGAAAGTGTAAATGATGGAAATAAAATCTAACTTTTGTTGGCATATTATAAGAATGTCTAATCTGTAATTTGCTGCCTTTTGGAGATTTTTCCATCTTTCCTTGGCTTCTTTATGCACATTAATACAAATTTTTAGCTGGGGTGCCCAAACTTTCGATCCCCACTGTATTTTCTCCATCTGCTCATCCCCCACAGGTATTATCTTTTGTATCACGTGACCTTCCCCTTTTCGATTGTAAGCAGGGCCCTCTGATTCCTCCTGTATTTAATTGTATTGTAACTGTACTGTTTGCCCTCACATTGTAAAGCGCTGCACAATTTGTTGGCGCTATATAAAGCCTGCATAATAATAATATACACATGGATATCCATGACTGCCACAATTGGTCTTTCTAGTTGATTCTGTGTATCTTTGTGGATTTTAGGAATATAGTAAACGTAGGGCATCTGGTACATATCACGGTACAAGAAACTATATCCCTTCTTGTTTATCACCCCATCTGAACATCTGGCAATATCCACCAGATTGTTAGGTTCGGCTCTGCACTCTAGGAGTGGGTCACTGACTACTTTGACATAAGTCTGTTTAACGGAAAGTAATCCACATGCCTCTCTCAAATAATCAATTTGGTCCTGTATAACAATACCACCCCCTTTGTTGGCTTGTTCACATGGGGCGCTTTATTCCTCACTGGCTCAAAGACAACAGCAGGAGCCTCTGGTTCCCACTGCTGTCAATCACAGCCAGTGAGGAAAGAGCAGGGAGTGGGGCAGAGCCACGCTCTGTGTGTTTTAAGGACACACAGAGAAGGGCCCAGGAGTGAGCATGTATGAGTGCCCCCATAGCAAGTGGCTTGCTATGGGGCACTCAGAAGGGGGATTGTCAGGAGCGCCGGTGGGGGACCTGAGAAGAGGATCGGGGATGCTCTGTGCAAAACCACTGCACAGAGCAGTTAAGTATAACATGTTTGTTATTTATTTTTAAAAAAGTATCACTTTAACGTACATAGGATCCCAAAGCCAATTAAATTGTATGGTTATGAAAGTCACCCTGTGGTTTTAGTATTTACATAAGACAAAAATGCTTTTTTATTGGACTGTAAAGGTTTGTCCTCTTATTGTTCTGTTTTGGTGGTTTTAAAGAGACTGCACAGCATTTGCACAAACTGTAGTGTGTATGGCCACCTTTAAAAATACTAATTTAAGCATTGTTAGTAATTTAAGATCTTATCAGTCTAGTGTTTTTTTTTTTTCTTCCCTCCAATGCATTTAGTTTTAGTCCACATTGCAAACAGGTGGTTTGAGAAAGGGGCAGGAAGCCCAGAGACCTGTTGCCTGCTGTGTTTTTGTCCACCTCCCCCGCTCGATCAGTGTGAACAATGTCCAGGTGAGCCAGTATATGGAAAAGGAAGTGTGTGTGTCTGTCTGATGGCTTTAGCTCCTTTTCTTTTCCCTCACCTAGTGTTTCCTGTTCTGTATCCGAGTGTGGTCTCCAGCACTCCCATATGATGATCCCTTCTATTTTAACTGTAAGTGGATACTTAAAGTGGTAGTAAAGTGAAGAGTCACAAAAAAAAACTTACAGGCGAGATTTTTTATAACAGAAGGGACCCTAGATGTCTATTCTGTCATAAACGTCCCCCTGCCTGTCAGTGGGTAATGTGATCTGAGCCGCACATAAGCAGCTCACCACACACACTTACAGCCTACTGTGTGCAGTGGCAATGTAACTTCTGTGTGTATGCAAGGCAATGATGTCACCTCCAACCAGTAATTCAAGAATCCGAAAATATAAAACCTGGATGGAAGCCTGGACGAAGATGGAAGCGCTGGAGACCAGGGAGAACCGTGACAGTACAGCTCTGGAGGGCTCTGTCTATAGGTAAGTCTGTCATAACATACTAGTATGCAGTGCATAATAATACATTTTTACTTAAACCTGCACTGGGGTGTGAAATTTCTAAAGTTTATCAGCAAGAATTTACTACTTTAAAGAGTGCAAGATATTAATGCATCCATGAATCCTTGCCGTTTTCTTTCCTGTTGCCTGGTGCCTTCTAATATATACTGCAGTATGGTGGACAGGTCTAAGTATGGTGGACAGGTCTAAGTATGGTGGACAGGTCTAAGTATGTTGCAAAGAGCATACTTGGAGTTCAGCTTTAAAACAAGATTATGAGCTTCTGGAAGCTTCCCATCTGGGGCCCAGCACTAAAATGCAGATGTGACAATTTGCAGTTGTCATCACAATGAAATAATGTGGGCAATATCAACTTACTAGATTTGCTGAAGCCAGAAATGCACTCCTCTAGGAACTCAAGTGTGAGGTGTGGTTCATTAGCTGCCAGGGTTTTGCTAATGGAAACTATGAAAAGTGTATTGTTGGCTGGGATACAAAGACCCGAAGTCTCCAGTAGCTGCCCCTCAATTTTTAAATTAAAGGTACATGTTAAGGCACACAGAAGGTTATAGGCAGCAGACCTGCAAAAAAAGATAAGGGGAAAAACTTAATAATCTAAAAACATTACATTAATATGAGCCATTTAAAGTAGCCATCATAAACACAACTGGTCAATATAAGTTGACATTTTTCATGACAGATTGATTTACCATTTAATACTGCGATTTCAAGGCAATTACATCTTAATAAATATTGCTGGCATGTCTTCCTCAAGCAAAAATCGACTCCAAAAGTCCAAAGGAATACTCTACAATGTGTATGAAATAACCTCTTCAGAGACAACATGTGAACTGCCGTTATTGAATTACATTAATCCAATCCCGTTAATATTCAGAACAGCAGAAAATGCTAGTTTAAGGCAAGCCAAAGATGATTTGATATTCTTTCCTTCCACCATGGGTGAAAGGAAAGAAAATCGCTTGGTGTCGCTGACTGTGTTGATGGGGGAATCCCTCCAGCAGCACTATTGTGTTCTGCCGGCAGGGGAGCCTTTCTAGCGGATAGTACACAATGACTACTGCTAGCAGCTATAGCCCCTGGCAGTAACTGAATGCAAAAAAATCCAATAGGCTGGTTGTACCCACGTCAATAGATGTGGGTACAACCAGCCTGCCCTTAGATAGATCTAATCTCAGCCAGTCCCTGCTTAACTGGACGAGATTCGATCCCTCTATGGCTGGCTTAAGTCATTGATCTGAACAAGTATGCTGAACATTTCAGACTTCCCTTGACTTCACTAGCTGCACACTTGTTTCATGTCTGTGGTCTAGAACGTATTGATGCCAGAGCCAGCTACGATTTTTAAAAGGAACCCAGAAACATCTCTATATTGGTATCAGTACAGATTTTCTTTAAAAGGTTAACTCCACATCCGTGAAAAAAAAATATAGCAAAAAATATAGCATATAAACTTGCCACACAAGTCATATTTTAATTTAATGTTATTACAAACTACCTTTCCTTTTTAGTCTGTAGTGACAACAATTTTCTGTGGAAGTCAATGCAATATGGCAACCTGGAGGCATTCTGTACACTGTGTATAGAAGGCCCCCAAAAATGTTATTTCCTGTTTGTGTGGTTGGCTTACTGATATTCCCAGGAGTCTGCATTGGGAATATCAGTAAGCCAACCACACATCAGATTTTACACATCAGATTGTACACATTCTCTACAAGAGAAACTTTAGTTCTGATGAGATATTCTACAAGAATAAATACTTCTAAAGGGATACAGACACTCCAATGTTTCTTATCAGAATTCTCCAGCTTATTATGATAAACTAGTCCCAACCATTTAGAATCAGTAACCAAAAGACATGGGAGAACTGTTTTAACTTATCCTTGTATTCTGTCACATTATTATATATCACCTTATATAGACCTGACGGAATACATTTTTGGTACAAAGAACTGTTATATTTAGAATATGTGCAAAAGATAGTGGCGCAACAGCTACCATGGAGAGCTGTGTTTTAAGTACAGCAGGGCCACCAAGCAGAATGGGATCAAGTGCCATATGCCCCTGAGGAGATAACCACTTTCAAGCGGAGTTCCACGCAAAAGTGGAAGCTCCACTTATATACCTGCTCCCCCCCTCCATTGCCATGTTTGGCACTTTGTTGGGGGGAAGGGGGAGCGGATACCTGGTTTTGACAGCTCAGTTCACCGCAGCAAAGTGAGCAGGAAGTTCGGCCCCCCTCCTTACTCCCGCAGTCTTCTGGGACACTTCACAGAAGACTGCCGGACCAATCAAGATGCGTTGTGCAACTTGTGCATGCGCAATGGACACCTGGCTGTGAAGCCGCAAGCTGTCACAGCCTGGTGCCCACAGTTGAGATGCCCGGGGTGTGGAGAGCAGAGAGAGAGAGAGAGAGAGAGTAATGACGTGGGTGAGCACTTGCCTGTTAAATGCTATGCAGGCACTGGGCTCTGCTTAGGCACTTTCCAGATCACGGTCCATGACACAACCCCAGTGTAAGCCTATCCCTGAAGACCCTTTAGAAAGAATAGCTGTCTGGAGGTGAGAACTTTATGGAAAGGGTTGGTCTCTCAGTCCTGTCTCTCTCTCTCCCAGTACTGTACTGTGATTCAAAGTGTGCATGCTGGACCACTGTCATGGTAAGTCTGTGGGCTTACCGGAGAACTGGACACTGGCAAAAAAAGTGTCAGTTCCGGTTCACATATGTACAAATTGGATGCAGTTTGAATTAGTGGTGCACCAAAATGAAAATTCTGGTGCCGAAACTGAAAATTCAGGATGCACTTGGCCGAAAACCGAAATGGACAGTTTTTTAAAAATTACATTTTTTTTTTTAAAGAGGTGACAGCAATGAGAACAGATCACCTGATGGGTGAAAGCATAAATTAGGAATATCTGCCCGAAGAGTAGGCAAGAAAAAGCTAGCGGCCCCTGTAGGGGAATTGCTTGGGCTAAGGTTTTCGTCTAAAAAGTACTCAAGGCCAGATGATGGTCCAAACCAGATCGGAAGAAGACCAAAAACACACCACTGAGTCTGAGTATTTCCTGGGTTAAAATCTCTCTCACACATCATGCAAAATATGCTTTCCATGTGTGATGGCACACTTTGCGAGTTAAGGATTTCTTAGCCTTCATAAGCGTAGGAGCAATTATCAGATAGGTCCCCATCTCTCAGGACCTAGGCTTTAAGAGCAAAGCTATCCAAAATCAGCAACCATGAAGTAGGATGGCAAATTTACCCTTGAGACATGAGATTTGGGTGATCTAGGAGAGCCCATGGGGAGTCTGCCAGGAGTATGATGAAGTCAGAGTACCATATACTCATGGGCCAGTTTGTTACAATGAGATTAAAGGCCTCTCGACCCTGTGGAGGATAAGAGGAAGACAGTGAAAGAAAAGCATAGATTAAATCATTATGGAACCAGGATACCAGGAGATCCACATGTTGTGTTCCCCACCTGCCATCGTGGTCTTGAAATACTTCTGGATAAACAGACCATTGTCTGCAGTCCTGTCGTTGATGACCAACAGGGTAAGTATGTGATTGCCTGCCCAAGCCCGAAACAGATTGGCTTCCTTTGCGCTGCAAGATCTTGGTTCTTCACTGATGACTCATGTATTCCACTGCTGTGGCGTTGTCCCACTGAATTCGGGTCAAGAGAAATTTAATAGCGAGGTCCAGCAATAAAGGGACAATTGGATTGCTTAAAGCTCCAGCATGTTCAATGAAAGGTATTCTTCTGCTGGAGATCAAGTCCCCTGCACTGTAAGGATGTCCAAGGCCCCTCCCCAGCATTTCAGGCTGACATCATTCATGAGGACCTTCCAGAATAAAAGGACATACTTGCACAACTTCAAGGCTGGTTTTGCGGACCACTAAGCCAGAAATAATCTGATCATGGGTACAGGCACACTGAAAGAACCAGAGACTGAACGCAGCCAAAATCTTGATTTGCATAGGTCTAGAGTGTAATTGAGCATTCAGAACTGACACAAAGGAGGCTATCAGAGCCAGAACCCTCATGCAAAAGCTTAGGGCAGGGTCTGGTGTTGACAACTGGCGGGAGGTTCTGAACATAGCAATGGAGGCTCAGAAGATTTTCCAGTTGAGGAAAATGATCAGTATCTAAAATACTCTCGTTGAGGAGTCCGTTCCAGTGTTGATTTCCAGAGGTTCAATATTCAAACAAAGAGTTGGTGAGTATGAGCAGTTATTTGGACCTAGACTAATCAGGACTGTGCCATTGTCTTAGCAGGTGGTCACCTAAACAACCCAAAATGGGAATGCCCTGCAATCAAGGCACAGCATACATCAGAGCTAAAACTTTGGTGAATACACAAGGAACAGAAGACAACCAGAAGGGAATGGCAACAAACTGCTGTTGTTGTGTGCCCACAGCAAGAGCAGATAACATTGGAGTGCAGGAAAAATTAGGATAGGTAAGTAAGAAATTCCAATGCCACAGAGGCCTGGAAGTCTGTCAAGTGAAGGGAGGAGATGACTGACCTGTTGGATTACATAGGAAATTTCTGAACTCATTAGAATGCACTGAGTATTTTTAAATCCAGAATGTGCATATGCCTTCCTCTGCCTTGGGAACTGAAGAGGTTTAAGTAATTGACAGGGGAAAAATACACCCAGAGAGAACAGTTGACCAGTGTGCAGCTCCATCTGGCTCTGAGCCGAAAATGGCAGATTTGTCAGCATGAAGAGGGTGGAGCCAGAGACTGAAATTCTAGCCCTAGGAAAATACACCTCCACTCAAGCATCAGAGATGGACTAGATACAGGCAGCAGATGTCCTCCACTCGCAGAAGTGCGAACATCACCTTATTGCAGGGAGGGCTATCTGGTAGGTTTAACATTCATAACGACCCAAGGCTTTCAGTGGAATTGGGCCCCAGGCCTGGCCTTGGATTGTGACAGAAACTTTGAGGGTTTCCCAGGTTAGTCTTCTGGCTTTCTGAGACAGAGAGGTGCTCTCCCACTGTGACGACCTTGAAAAGTACAGTTTAAAGAAAACAATTGGTAAAAGATAAAATGTGTAGAAATAAAGTGCAATTTAGTGGTTTCATTTCTTAAAGGAGAAGTTCACCTTTTTTACAAAAAATAATAAATGCACACTTTCTGCAGGTAAAAAAAAAAAAATGTGCATTTACTGTTCTTTGTTTTAGAGATCCTGTAAAGCACTGCACCAGTGATCAGTAGATCGCTGGTGCCATGCAGGCATCCTGCAGACTGAGTATAATCAGTCTGCTCATACCTCGTTCGAGCAGATGGTTTTACACTGATGGGAAGAGTGAATGGACTATCGGAGTGCTCAACAGCACCATGGTAGTTCCTTGAGAAATACAACTTGAGAAATTAACTTGTAGTTCACCGATTCACAGGGATCTGTGAATCTATGATGCAACTGAGTGGGTGGTGCCCCGCATGGCTGCTCTCTCTTTGAATTGTGACAGCAAGTACAGGGAGTAGAAAATCAGGGGAAGAGGGATCTGAGGCTGAACATGTTACACACTAAATATGGGAGTAACATGTTAAAAAAGGTGAACTTATCCTTTAATGTTTTGGAAACATTAGGAAACTGTGCTAGTGTATTAGAAGTCGAAAAAGCTTCTGTTTCAATTATCACTGCAGTATTCTTGGGCTGCTTGTAGCTAAATATTCTAGGGGGCAAGAATGGGCAAAAGCATGATTGCTTGACTCTGCCTACAAAGATAAGAGGATTCTGGCTAAGTTGAGCTGTGTTACTGGAGGGATGATCAAGGGCTATACTGCAAATGAATTCAAAGCAGTAAGGTACATCTCAGTCAATTCCCTTAAAAGATAAGTTCACCTTTTAGACAATAATAAATGCACACCTTTTTGCAGGTAAAGAAAAAATGTGCATTTATTATTTTTGTCTACAGGAGCCTGGAAAGCATTGCACCAGCAATCAGTAGATTACTGATGCCATGTAGGTCTCCTGCAGACCTCTCAGAATATCTGCTTGCCGTACGGAATGTACAAGCAGGCAGATATTCTGACAAGAAGCTTCAATTAACTACCACGGCGCTCCACAGAGCCATGGTATTTCATTGAAAAACTACAAGCCCACAGCCACCATGGCTGTCAGGACTTGTAGTTCATTCATTCACGGAAGTCCGTGAATGAATGACGTGGCCGTGCTATTTTCAAATTTGACAAGCTAGTACGGGGAGAGGTGGGGAAACAGCGGCTATGGGAACATGTTACATGTTCCACCCTAAAAAAGGGTGGATTATATAACATGTTCCCAAAGGAGAACTTATCCTTTAAAAGGATAAGGTCACCTCTTGTAACATGTTACACCCATATTCAGGGTGTAACACGTAACATGTTCTGAAAGGACCGAACCCCGCTCTGCCCCCACTTCCCCAATGTGACAGCTAGCGGGGGAACATCTAGTGGCTCGCCCAGCTGTGTCACTCATTCACAGTATTCTGTGAATAGGAAAACTACAAGTTCCGACAGCCTTTGCCTTTCATGAGCACAAAGATACACTGACACATCTGCAGGAGTCCTGCACGGCACCAGCGATCTGCTAATCGCTGGTGCAATGCTTTTCAGGCTCCCAAAACAAAGAAATAGTAAATGCACATTTGTTTACTTGTAATAAAATGTGCATTTATTATTTTTTGTTAAAAAGTGAACCTATCCTTTAAATCCCTCATTTTCATTTTTGTACAAATGTTTGCTTTAGGGCTTGCTCACACCATACATGCATGAAAACTAATGGAAACTGATGTGCAGATTTCGCTTGCAGAGACATCAGTTTTCATGCGAGCTGCAATGAGTTTTATACACGTTGCAGATTCCTGCGCAGAAAAAAATCTGTAAGTGATACTAGTGTTGTGGTGTGAACAGGGCACAGAGAACTGGTTTGTTGTGCCCTTGTAGAACGTGTACAAAAAAACTGATGTCTCTGCACCATGGTGTGAACGAGCCCTTAAAGTTTCCAGCATGCAAAAAGCATAGGACAAAGAAATTCAGTTCTAAATGTGTCTCTTAACAACTGTAACTTTTAGAGGAATCATCAATACTGTAACTGTAATATCAGTGTATTACTTATTCAATTCAGCAGCGAACATATCAATTTCCTAAAATACCTCATTACACAGGACACTGAGTGCTTTTAGTTAGTTTCCATTTTTGTGCAGACTTTCGCTTAAACCATTTCAGGACTAAAAAGAAACCTGGCCGATGACCTAGTAGATATGCATAAATATATAAACATGTATTAAAACCATACAGGGATAAATGACTACCGTAGACTTGGATCAGAGCTTCCCAAGTTGAGTAATGCTATGTTAAGTAGTGTTCCAGGAACATCCTTTGGACGGATTTTAGTGTGTTGGGGGATGGAATCTGGTTGTGACAGTTCCCATCGAGTCCGTATGTGAATGATAGACTGGACAATGGCTTCACACTCCTGGTGCATGAATGTGAGGGGGTGTTCCTTGATTAGCAATAGTCAATGTGAACTGATTTTCATCCACTAAACAAATTTCTTCTATCTCTGAAGCATAGTAGATATCATTCAGAAACACAGATTGGCCCAAAACCCGCGTCCTTTCTGCTGAAGTGACCTGAACAGCCGTAGAACCCACCTAAAAAAACAGAAAGAAAAATGTAAAAAGTGACGTTTAGAAGCGTTGATGTGCTTCTGGCTTTTTTGCAGCAAAGTGCTCCTCTCCAGAACGAGCTGGCACTGTGTTTTTTCCTTCTGCCTCTAAATACCTGTAAGCACCTATGAGTGCAAGGACACATAGGCGTTCAGAGGCAGAAAAAAAAAAAAAAGGATTGCATTTTATGTCAAGTGTGCATGAGGCCTTGAAATGCACATACTGTTCAATATACTTTTTGTAATGTTATAATGGTCAGTTGATAGGGAGGTGCTTGTATTTACACATCCCATTTCCTCTATTTCAACATCTACCTTAATGCATCCTGGCTTGCTCATTATCATGTGTATACATATTAATCTCCACTTACTTTAATTGACACTTTAGTGTCCTTGTGGGCCAGTTTAAGTGCATTATGGAACAGCTTCAGGTCCTCTTCCAAAGCAAGTGTGGCCGCTGGCAGTTTCTGCTGATCATGGTCTATATGCTCAGCTAACTTTCCAGATGGATCGATGAAAATTAACCTCTTGCTGCCTTTCAGACCAGTTAGCAGTCTCTCGTGGTATTTTGTATATTCCCTCACCCAGGAGTTACAGTTGTAGATATAAACTGCTGTTACATTTTCATATGCAAAGCCAGGGAAAACCACAAACCATTTTGAAAGGAAGTCTGTTTTAAAGCGATTGCTGGGCCCAGCGTGAGTAAGATCTACCACTATCTCATATGGCTTGGCATAGTATGGCTTTAAAGTCAGAAGAACATGGTAGATCAGTAAGTCTCCATTTATTTGGCCAGTCTTGAACCTGCAAGGCATAAAGAGAGACATAATTACATTCAAAATACTAACAACATCTTACAAAGCCACCCACAACTCAGCCCCCAGTTATATCACTAACCTAGTCTTCTAAATACCGACCTAATAGTTCTCTTTGTTCCTCCCAAGACCTCCTGCTCTCTAGCTCCCTCGTCACCTCCTGCCATGCTCGCCTCCAGGACTTCTCCAGAGCCTCTCCCATCCTATGGAACTCTCAACCCCAAATTGCCCGAATATCTCCTACTCAGTCTGCTTTTAGATGATCGCCGAATACCCTCATCTTTAGAGAAGCCTATTCTGCCCCCACTTAACAACTGGAGATTAATTTTCTCCATCAGCTCACCCCCACCAGCTATTACCTTTTGTATCACTTGACCCTTCCTCCTAGATTGTAAGCTCTAATGAGCAGGACCCTCTGATTCCTCCTGTATTTAATTGTATTGTAACCATACTGTCTGCCCTCATGTTGTAAAGCGCTGCACAAGATCTTGGCACTATATAAATCATGAATAATAATAATAATTGTCATTTTAGTGAAATCACCAAAATGATATGAAGCCCAAGTCCAGCCAAATCGATTCTTTCTTGTTTTTGATAAGAGTTCTTATAGGATTTTATTTCCATTTATGACAATATTAAAAAGATTTTCCCTCACTTCCTGTCCCTGTGACGCCCGTGCAAGAAACAGGGTGTGTTTTACCAGGACCGAAAACCACAACAATAACTGTTTTTGTTGCCATATATGTCCTTGTTGCCTTAACTCCCTGTTATTTTAGAAATTAAGGGAAATCACAATAATTTGGACACAGACGGGAATAAGTCCTGAAAAAGGGGCTCCAATGATTCTTGCCCTTTTGAAAACAAAAGAAACAAGCTTTGGCTACAGATGGGTTTTTAGGTATGGGAGCTCAAAAGTGCTGAACATGAGTGCACATGCGCGGCCAGCCGGATCGTATGTCCCAGCACTCGCTCTGCACACCCCCGGCACCAATAGTAGCCCATATATACGGGCACTGAACCCCCACTGCTCCCAGGACTCTCCCTGGACCTTGACCGGACCCCCTGAATCATGCCGGGCGGACGGCGGGGAGAAGCCGCGGGGGCTCCCAGATATCGGTCCCTGTTGGGAGAAAGGGACCCAAGATGGCGCCCGGCTCGACGTCTGCGGCCCGTCACCTCCTGCTGCTGGCAATAAAGCAGCACCTCTCCCTCTGAGGGTGAAGCTGGGCTCTACCTCTCCCACTGGCCAGGACCGGACCACTGCAGCTTCATCTACTGGGGTGAGTGAATCTCAGCGGCCTCCCCAGTCACCTTCCAGCCCTACACTACCCGAGTCCCAGGCTTCGGCCTGCTCACTAGGCCACGATTCCCCTGCCTCCTCACCACTGAGTAGTGAGATTGCGGCCATCTTCTCCAGCCAGAATAGCGGCCCAGACCCCAAAGATGACAGACCTGCTCACTCGCCAGCAATACTTCCAGATCTGCCACAATACTCAGGTGATGCAACCTTAATAGCTCGGTTCACTGATTTACTGCAACGCAAACTAGATAGAGCCACTTCAAAATTGGCAGCTGACCTTAAACAGGATTTTCAAGAATTGGGCCAACACCTGGATAGTATCGAATCTAAAATTGATGCGACAGTCCATAGAGTATCCCAAAATTCTATTATGATTACCGACTTGCAAGATCGTTTGGAGTAAGCTTACTCTAAAATTGATGATTTGGAAAATCGAGCTAGGTGCTACAATTTCCGCATTCGAAGACTCTCTGAATCAGTCAAAGAGCTCACTAGCTGCGTACAAACACTCATGCGATCTGCACTACCCGATATCGATGATCTTCATAGTGAAACTGATCGCATCCATAGAGCATTGATCCCCCCTAGACAAGGTGGGCCTCCTAGGGATATCATCGTAAAGCCTCACTTTTTTCAGGTCAAGGAAGTGGTCATGGTATAGTAGGGAGACTCCGGACCTGGAATTTGCGGGACATAAGATACAAATTTTTGCTGATGTCTCCCCGACCACCATCCAGAAACGGCGATCTCTTAAGCCACTACTTTCCCACTTAGTGCAGAAGGATATCCGGTATCGATGGGCCTACCCCTTTCGCCTACAATTCAATTTTAATGGAAAGCCTTATGGTTTCTCTACATTCCAGGATGGCAAGGAATTGTTACTTCAACTGGGCATTATCTGTCGTGGTCCTACATCCCACTCCCCGGTGGAATTGGCTCCTCGACCGCTGCCGCTTTCACCTTTGTGGACTGCTCCAAATGCTGGGAAGATGGGGTCACAGAAATCACCCGGGAAGACTCCTTGAGTTAACATGTCTTTTTGTGGGTTTTCTTATGTGATCTCTGGATAGGTGGTGGCCTCTCAGTGGTTCACCGCTGTTCAGATGTTGTGGGAGGATTGGAGGGGGGACCTTGGAGTTGCCTCGCATCCATCCACTGTTTACATTATCAGAGGGTTCGGTTATTTTCTCTTTTTTTTTTTTTTTTTGCATTACTACTATTTGGTATGTTACTGATGGGTTATTGTTGGTGCCGGGGAGTGTCTATGCGCCCTCCTTGAGTGGAACACTCTCCCCTGAGTTGTTTTCTCTGGGTAGATCCATTCCATTGCAGGACTATAGCTCTGCAATTATTGGTATAAAGGTTGATTTGCTTATACTATATTATTTGTCTACTACCATTGGTTACTTGACATGAGGATTTTTATACTCCGAATGTCTCCTCTTTTCTCCCCCCCCCCCCCCTTTTTTTTTCAGGGTCAGCTGCCGATATATCTGGATCTTCGGACCATTTCATGCTCCAAGAGTGGTTGGTTCCTATCTTCCATAGTTCTTTAATTGTCGACTATGTCTTCCCTACGGTCTCATAGCGGAACTATCCGTCTACTTTCTCAAAATGTTCAGGGGCTCAATTCCCCCGCCAAACGTATAAAGGCCTTTAATTCATAGTTGCTCTGCAGGAGACATATTTTCCCCCTTCATTCACCCCACAATATGTTCATAAAGATTATCTTGTTATTTTGCTAACGCTACAGAGAAAAAATGGGGGGTTGCCCTTTGTTTGTCTCGCTGTTTGTCCTTTACCGAATCTAAAATAATCTGGGACAGGGAGGGGCGGTATCTTCTGGTGAAAGGCCACTTGGGGGGGGACAATTACTTACTTTTTTAATCTACTACACCCCAAATACCAACCAGGTGGAATTTTTTAAGTCCTTATTGAGCACTATGGCTAAGGAATTCGAAGGCGATGTTATTCTGGCCGGTGACTCTAATTTCCCGAACCGCCGTGCTTCAGCCCCCTTCTAGACAGAGCCGTAAGTTGGCCCAGCTACTGCATCGTTATGACTTTGTCAACGCTTGGAGAGAAGCTAACCCAACTTCTCGAGATTACTCCCATTATTCTAGGGCTCATAATTGCTATTCTCGCATTGACCATATATTTTTTCATACACACTCGCTCCCCAGACTCCTCACGGCTAAAATCCTCTCCACGCCTTGGTCTGACCACGACCCTATTTCTATATCATTGTCATCCTGGATGCTTGATAAGACTGCTTATTACTGGCGCCTTAATGAATCTATTTTGGGTAATTCTTCCTATTGTCGGGATATCTCCTCGCACTTTCACACGTATTTTGAACTTAATAAAGCAGAGGATACGAACCCGGCCATTAATTGGGCAGCTCATAAGGCCTTGGTTAGGGGGTTTATTATTCAACTCTCTTCGCGAATCAAAAAAGCCCAAAACGACCTACTAGCCACCAAAACAAAAAACATATACTGACTTAGTTGCCCAACATAAGCAGAATCGCAGTCCGGATTTGCTGCTTAAACTTGATCAGGCCCGATTAGAACTAAATCTATGTCTTACTACCACTGCTGACAAACAACTACGTTGGTATAACCATACATTTTTTACTTGGAGGGATAGACATGGCACTTTATTGGCACACAAGTTGACTCCCAGACATTCCCAAATGGTTCTCCCTAAACTCAGATTGGATAACGGAACTTTATTTTAAGATCCTGGTAAGATCCTCCAAAAATTTCAATCTTTTTACACTGAACTATATAGCTTTTCTCAGGGAGGTTCTTCTTCGTCTCTCGAAACACCTTTTTGAGCTCTGTTCCTCTTCGCTCTCTCCAGGAGGCCCATAAGGAGTCGATGGAACGGCCTATCTCGTGCGAAGAGATTAGGAGTGCTTTGAAATCTCTTGCTCCTCATAAATCCCCAGGACCGGATGGTCTTCCCCACAATTATAAAGTTTTTCCTGATATCCTGATTCCCCATATGGCTCATTATTTTAATTATCTACGGGATGGGGGACTGGTGCTCCCTGATGAAAACAAGGCATTCATCAGTGTCATCCCCAAACCCCTCAAGGATGCTTCTATAGTCTCTAATTATCGACCTATTTCCTTAATTGTGATCTAAAGATTCTTACTAAAATCCTGGCCTTACGCCTCCAATAATTTTTGGCCCTGTATATTCATGATGATCAGTCAGGATTCATCAGCAGTCGACAAATGTCAGACCAAATTCGTCGGACTTTAGCACTGCTGTCAGCTGTACAATCCAATTGGGATAAATCCTCACAGAGGAAAATCTTATTGTTATCATTAGATATTTATAAAACGTTTGACAGTCTATCTTGGGACTATTTATTTCAGATGCTAGGTAAGTTTGGGTTTTGCCCTTATTTCACGACATTACTACGGGCCCTATATTCTAACCCTTCAGCTCAAGTCCCCATTCGCGGATATAAACCAGCCTCCCTTTTGATAAAGCGAGGTACTAGACAGGGTTGTCCTCTCTTTCCACTACTATTTGCTCTGGCAATGGAACCACTGGCGATTGCTATCCGTTCCGATCCCACCATTTCGGGCATCCGCTGCAGTCAACGGGATCATAAATGCGCCCCATTTCCTGATGATGTCCTTTTGTATATATCTAACCCTCGAACTTCTTTA